CATTGTTGTGTATTTTAAACAATAATGGTATGTATACACTATTAAAGATGTATTTTTACATTGTTACATATGTGTTTAGCCTTTCAAAGCTATATTTCTGTTTATTTTGGAGTTTCTTTTACATTATATATGGATTATATATTACCTAATTGTGTATTTTACCTAATGGAATGCATTTTTTTCATTTTATTTTAGTATATTTAAAGGTTTATTTAACAGGTTTAAGATGTGTTTTCAACCTATATAATGTCTTTATTACAATATTTATGGATTATGCTGGTGGATATATATTGGTGTATAGGGTTGACCTATTTTCCAGGCCTATAACTGTCAAATTATATTGACAAATATTTGCATTTTTTAAATCTTATCTCAGATTTTAGTGGGAACCAATCTCTCCCGCCTTCTCATTGGACGAATGTGGCCATGTTTGTATATATAAGGGAGCTATGGTATTGTGAGAAGAGTGGAGGAGGAGTGTGGTGGATTATCTTGTGGAGACGCTTAAAGTGTTCTCTGCGTGTTTTATCCGTGTCTGGCTATCTCCTCGCATACCTGTGTAACCCCGGTCTGCTCCTTATCAACGCTGCAAATAAAAGATAAGTACTGTTTTTATTTTATTTAACAAATCGTGTTTGTTTTTTACCCCCTTTTTTTTTGTTGGTGTTGTACTCTTGAGTGTACGTTTTTCTGTGTTTAAGTTACTTTTACGGTAGTCCCTAGTTTATTGCTTTTTGTGTGATAACCCGTAATAGTAACTTTTGTCAAACTGCTTGAAATGTAATAGTGCGGAAGCTTCTCCGGAACATATCATGCTCAGAACTGACAATAGAGGACCCCAGGCCTATAACTACCATCGCAAAATTGGAGAGGAGTGGACTTCAGGAATTGGTTTAACCATGGAGATAAGCGACACCACCACCACACTTTACCATATCTTTGAACTTATTTATCAATATTATTGGATAGAATATGTCAAGTTTCTACATTTGATGTTATATATTTGAATGAATTATAATTTCTATAAAGGTATTTAGCATACCTCTGTAATTTAGTAACTATAAATCTATCAATATATTTCATATAAAGATTTCTATAAAATTTTCTTTGGTAAAATTTGATATATACTTGTGAGTTTCACCCTACGCTTTCAAAAATATCAGCAAACAAATCTAATGCAATAGCTTATTATAAATTTTTTAGATCATCATTATGTAAGGACCAGTCAACAATTGAATGACTTTGAGACGAAGAGTAAAGCCAATTTCTATGTAAATAACACAAGATACCTTACCCAATTGGGAGAATCTGTATGGGGCAAGTCCCTAATAAAGGCTTTTGTGTGTGTGATATAGTTGTGAGTAGATACATACATTTTACAAGCAATTTCTACATTTCTAGAACCAATCTTTATATGTAGAGTATACATGCAATCATATCTGTACATAAATCAACTATACCTACTTTTTATATATAAATATTGTTATATGTGTAATTAAAAATGCATATATTGAATCAAAATATCATTTATTTTAGTATTTATCATTTATTTTGGTAAAATAAATGATATTTTGATCCAATATATACCTTTTTAATTAAAAATTTATTTATGGAATGCTCTATTTTCAAAACAATAGTTATATATATATGCAAATTAATTTACATTTACACAACACACACCCCATTGACTATATTTAACACTAAATTCACCATAATAATGCTGTTTATAATGTAAATAAATTGTAAAAATACCCTTTTTCAGTTATTAATAATTTATATTTATCACCATTGACTCTATTTAACACTACATTCACCATAATAATGCTTTGAATGTGAATAAATTGTAAAAAATAACCTTATTTAGTCCTTAATAATTTATATTTAATCCCAATGACTCTATTAAAAACCAAATTCATCATAATAATGCTTATAATGTAAATAAATTGAAAAAAAAAAAGACTTATTAAGTGATTAATAATTTATATATTATCATCAATGACTCTGTTTAAAACTGAATTCACCATAATAATGCATTGAATGTAAATAAATTGTAAAAATACACTTTTTTTAGTCTTTAATAATTTATATTTATTCCCAATGACTCTATTAAAAACTAAATTCACATAAAATAATGCTTTGAATGTAAATAAATTGTGAAAATACCCTTATTCAGTGATTAATAATTTATATTTTATCATCATTGACTATATTTAAAACTAAATTCACCATAATAATGCCTATAATGCAAATAAATTGTAAAAATACCCTTATTCAGTGATTAATAATTTATATTTATCATCATTGACTCTATTTAAAACTAAATTCACCATAACAATGCTTATAATGTAAATAAATTGTAAAAAAAAAAGACTCTTATTCAATGATTAATAATTTATATTTATCATCATTGAATATATTTAAAACTAACTTGACCATAATCAAGCTTAGAATATATATTAACTATAAATATATAATTATTTAGAAGAAAATAATTGAAACATTAATTACCAATGGATCTTTAGAAAACAATTTACCATATAAACACTCTTAAAATATAGATTAACTGGAAATATGCATTTATTTAGTTGTAAATAATTGATATTTACCATCACTGATTCTATTAAAAAACTGATTTGACTATAAACAGGCTTAAAATGTAAATATACTGGAAATATGCATTTATTTAGTTTTAAATATTTCAAATTTATTATCCCTGATTCTGTTAAAAACTGATTTGACTATAAACAGGCTTAAAAAGTAAATTATTAGTAAATATGCATTTATTTAGTTGTAAATAATTGATATTTACCATCATTGGTTCTATTAAAAACTGAATTAACTATAAACAGGTTTTAAATGTAAATATACTGGAAATATGCATTTATATAGTTTAAACAACCTACAATTTTTATCACTGATTCTATTAAAAAACTGAATTGACTATAAATATGCTCAAAATGTAAATGAATTGTAAATATACACTTATTTAGTTGTAAATAATTTATTTTTACTATCAACTGGTTCTTTTTTTTTATACTGATTTGACTATAAACAGGCTTGATATGTAAATAAATTGTAAATATACATTTATTTAGTGGTAAATAATTTATTTTTACTATCAACTGGTTCTATTTTATACTGATTTGACTGTAAACAGGCTTAAAATATAAATATACTGTAAATATACATTTATTTAGTGGTAAATAATTTATTTTTACTATCAACTGGTTCTATTTTATACTGATTTGACTATAAACAGGCTTAAAATGTAAATATACTGTAAATATGCATTTATTTAGTTGTAAATAGTTGATATTTACCATCATTGGTTCTGTTAAAAACTGAATTAACTATAAAACAGGTTTTAAATGTATATATGCACAAACATATATAGTTCTGAATATAGAGCAATACATGTTTAAATAATATAAAGGCATATATAGTTTAAATAATTTACAATTATCATCACTGATTCTATTAAAATATTAATTTTGACTATAGACAAGCTTTAAATGTAAATATGCACTTATCTAATAGTAAATAATTAATATTTATAATTAATAATTCTGTTTAAACTGACTTGTGACCATAAATAGGCTTAAAAATGTAAATATAAGGTAAATATAATAATTTAGTAGTGAATATTTGTCACTTTTATCTTTACAGACGATACTATGCACTAAATTTACCAAAATATTATTCTTCTGAATAAATTTTGTTGAAATCTTATAAACATAGATGTATGCAAGGATGTAGCTTAAAAAATTAAGTTACTGTTTAGTGTTCCATGCAAATTTTTGATGAATTAAACACACATGCATATCTATTTGAACATTAAACAAGCAATTCTAGCATATTACTACGTATAGAATATTATAATAAACATCCTTAGTAAATGTTATGTTTACATTAAGCATTTAAAAGCCAACAGACATTTATAAATATAACAAATTAAGTTTGTATATTTCTACTATTAGTATAATGAATTACGTTTTTAAAATATTGATGTAAAATTGGTGTGAAATATATATAGATAAGATGGTAAAATTTAGCTGTATGTTTGTATCAATCTTTTATGGCACATTTCAGTTAGGCTTAAAAAAATGTTTGTTGTCATTATTGTAATGCATAATGTAAAAGATTTAAAAGATATATTTGAATTGTTATATACGAAGCTATTTATATTGTATTGAATGATAGTTATATATTTGTGTTTGATAGAATTGTTTATCACTTATATTGAACTGTAGCAATAAAAGTTGCATATATGTAGGTCTAATATGTAAATAAAATCGTAGGAATGATGTATTTAACTATAAATATAAATGTATTTAGCTATATCTTTTATACCTTTTTGTATGTTATATTGATAGTTATGAGTATGTGTGTATCTATAGCTGTTTTATATTGGTATAGGTTAGTTATAGGAAGGTATATTATAATAAATATTGTAATATAACACAGTATGTAGATAGGTTGAATTATGCTTGTTTGATATGTAGAGAAAAGGATTTAAAGTCGTTTGGTATTATGGAATAAATTTTCGTCTGATAAGAATGTGATTTTGGAATTTATATTGGAAACAAAAGATAGATATAGATGTTATTCTCACCGTAGTTTCAGAGGTTGGCGATTGGTTGAAAATATGTTTGAGGTTTGAGAGAGGTGAAGAGTGTGTTTAAAAAGAGTTTGAAAAGAGAGAAAAAAGGGTTGAAGCTAGGCTTAGATCGAGCTCGGCGTCATGTAGTCGGTTCTATTGATTACCGTTTTCTGCGCTGCTAGTACATTAATGAACCTTTACTCTGATTGGACGGTTGTCGGCGTGACGGGCAGCTGACCTTCCACCCCACCCCCAAAGGTTCAATGACCCCTCCCTTCCCCCCCTTAACATACCCACCCCACCATCAATAAGAGTGGACCATGCTGGACCTACCTGCTATTTTGAAAAAAAAAAAAAAGAACCTTGCTCACCAACGATGACGATGCAATGTGTGAGTGCGTTCCGTCACGAGCTTGGTATGAAGTTCCTACTGATTGAAATGTACAAGGTAAGAACTCCAGACCTCGCTGTAGACGGAACGCAACGATGAAGGGGGGACATCCTGACGCTAGGTCCTCCAACACAGACTGCTCTCCGACGCCGCTAGAGGGCTTGCTCCTGATTGGCTGGTCGTCGGCCAATCACAGACGCTCATTACGCGCTCTCATCAACAAATTATCGCAAACAAAAGCGCGCAGCCGCGGCTCCGCCCATCAGTAACGAGCATTCTTGCATAATAAGTTATCTTGCCTTTTAGCTCCATCTGAAACATCCCAAATTAAAATGTCACACAGATTGAACCTAGGAAAAAAAATACACAAAAACTTTGCGAGAATATGGCAAAAAGAAAAATTTTTAATTAAAGGTAGGCAGAATGTGGATTTTAAACAACCAACCTTACTCTCGTCTGCTATTTATTGGATGCGCAGAAAAATTTAATATTTGATCGCCATTTTTTTAAAAACTTTTTTGAGAAAAATATCCACGCAAATTCAAATTAATTCTATATTAAAAGATAAAAATATAGCTTTCATTGAAATGTTTAAGATACATTTTAGAAAATAGAATCATTAGAATAAAATAATTTACAAATTTTCTCTGTTAAGCTATAACGATTTTTCTGAAAGGATCAATATGCTGCCAACTTCAAGCGATGGAATAGAGGGTATGCAAAATGAGAACAACAATCAAATTAACAGTTTGTATTCCTCTAATCTCTTCTCTAAATCACTGTTGTAATGAAAAATAAAAGCTGATGTAATGTGAGAATTAGTACATTCTTTGGCTATGTTCCAGAAAATTGATTTATGCTATTCAACAATATACACTCATGGACAAAATTTAAATGGAAAATCCATGAAGTCTATGGCGGTCTACTTTTTTTAAAGGAGACAGATGTCAATTTTGTTCACACTTGGTTATCTCGCGTGTCTTCAATAAAGGTCACTGAACAGTAGAATAACCTCTCTGTAAAAGACAACACCTAGTTACAGAGCCAAAGTGTTCTTTAGGGAGAGGTGTCCTCTTACCAGAGAGTTGCTACAGTAGAACTATCTCTCTGTAAAGGACAACACCTAATTGCAGAGCCAAAGTGTTCTTTAGGGAGAGATGTCCTCTTACCAGAGAGTTGCTACAGTAGAACTACCTCTCTGTAAAGGACAACACCTAATTGCAGAGCCAAAGTGTTCTTTAGGGAGAGATGTCCTCTTACCAGAGAGTTTCTATATTGTAAAAATGGTAATTTTGCAAATGAAAACTGTCCTTTGTGGAGAGGTGTCCGCTAAAGGGAGGTTCTACTGTAATATCTTTCAGAGTTATTGTCTGAATCCCGATATATATGCTAAAAGGTACAACTTCCTTAAGTTCTCTCTCTCTCTCTGTCTCCATGAGTGTACAATAGATTTTTTTTAATTCAAGCATTTGGTGAAATCAAGGAAACGCTGTGTCTTAAATGATCATTTACCAGAAATGTAAACAGACATTACCTTTGTTTACAATTATTTACATATATCAAATTTGGTTCAGAATAAGGAGCTGTTCAAGATAGCACTGTTTATAATCACCATTCCTAATGTACAGACATTACATGTTGTTCAGGGTTGATAACCTATTCAAGTTATCAATGTTTTCCAAGTCACCATTCCGAATGTATAGGTGATACATTTGATTCAGGGTTGAAGACCTTTTTAACCCCCAATGTATACAAAGTGACCCTTCAAAATGTACAGTAATTAGATTCTGTTCAAATTTGAAGACACGTTTAAGCAAATATTGTCTTAATTTGCCATCCAAAATGTACAGTAATTGCATTTTGTTCAAATTTAAAGACACGTTTAAGCAAGTACTGTCTTAATTTACCATCCAAAATGTACAGTAATTGCATTCTGTTCAAATTTGAAGACACGTTTAAGCAATCACTGTCTTAATTTTCCATCCAAAATGTACAGTAATTGCATTCTGTTCAAATTTGAAGACACTTTTAAGTAAACACTGTCTTGATTTGCCATCCAAAATGTACAGTAATTGCATTCTGTTCAAATTTGAAGAAACGTTTAAGCAATCACTGTCTTAATTTTCCATCCAAAATGTACAGTAATTGCATTCTGTTCAAATTTGAAGAAACGTTTAAGTAAACACTGTCTTAATTTGCCATTCAAAATGTACAGTAATTGCATTCTGTTCAAATTTGAAGACACGTTTAAGCAAACACTGTCTTAATTTGCCATCCAAAATGTACTGTAATTGCATTCTGTTCAAATTTGAAGACACGTTTAAGTAAACACTGTCTTAATTTGCCATCCAAAATGTACAGTAATTGCATTTTGTTCAAGTTTGAAGACACGTTCAATATAGCACTGTCTTAATTTGCCATCCAAAATGTACAGTAATTGCATTTTGTTCGAATTTGAAGACACGTTCAATATAGCACTGTCTTAATTTACCATCTAAAATGTACAGTAATTGCATTTTTGTTCCAATTTGAAGACACGGTTAAGCAAACACTGTCTTAATTTGCCATCCAAAATGTACAGACATTACAAGTTTTTCAGGGTTGATGACCTGTTCAAATTAGCAATGTGTACCAAGTTATCACCCAAAATGTACAGTAATTTCATTTTGTTCAACGATGAAGAGACACACGTTCAAGCTAGCACAATATGTTACAAATTAACACATTCAGAATTTATAGACATTACATGTTGTGCTCAGGGTTGATGTTCAAGCTAGCCAAATGTGTATCAAGCCACTACCAAGGATATGTACAACAATTACATATGGTCAAACGTTGCTGACCTGTTCATGCTAGCATTATGTCCCAAATCCTCACATAGAATACAGATACGTTGTCAAATTATATTGACAAACATTTTCAGTTTTTCTTATCAGTTTTTAGCGGGAAGAATGTTGTCTACGTTTGTTAGTGAACCAATCTCTCACGTCATTGGACGAATGTGGCCATATCTGTATATAAGAGGGGACTAAGGGAACGCGAGGAGGGTCCAGAGCGAGGAGAATTGGTGTGGAGACACTTAAAGTGTTTTTCTACGTGATTTTTCCGTGTCTGTGGATCTTTTCGCATCCCGGTGTGACCCGAGTCCGATCCCTACCAACACTACAATAAAGATAAGTACTGTTTTGTTTTTATTTTACCAATCGTGAGTTTTATTTACTTCCTTCTTGTTGTTGGTGTTGTACTCTTGAGTGTACGCTGTGTATTAAGTTACATTTACTGTAGGCCCTAGTATATTTTGTGTGGTAACCCGTAATAGTAACTTTTGTCAAGGTCTCCTTTGGTTACGGTTTAAAAACCTCCTCTAGTGTGTTCAAGCTAGCCATGTATCCCAAGTGAGCATCTAAAATGATCAAATATTACATGTTCAAGCTAGCAATATGTTCAAAGTTACCATCCAAAATTCACAGACATCACATTTTGTTCATAATCACAAGTCACCACCAAGAATGTATAGCAATTTGCATTTATAGATCCAACTGACATCTATCGTTAAAAATTGTAATAAATAAATTTACTGACAATGTGTTTCTTTTTTAATATAATCATCTGTATGCACCCCTATATACCTATAATGATATGTCCATAGGTTCCCTATGCACCCCTAAGCTGCCTTACATAGTATTTCTTTAATTATCTCTAGCACACGTGGTACAGGCCATGATAATCATGGTGTAACTACCCACCATGATTATCATGGCCTGTACCACGTGTACTAGAGATAATTAAAAAACTATGTAAGGCATGCGACTGCTTTTACTGTAAGTACACCACATGTCTACATATGGTACAGGCCATGATAATCCTAGTGGGTAGTTAGCGACTGTCTTTTACTGTAAGTACACCACATGTCTACATATGGTACAGGCCATGATAATCTTAGTGGGTAGTTAGCGACTGTTTTACTGTAAGTATGTATGCTTGTTATAACGTCGGACCTGGAGGCTGTTGTTGGGTTCTGTGCTGTCTGGAGTATAGGAGCTCTATCTATGCTTCCTTCCTGTGGTGAATCTGTATAAGACTGTTGTTGGGTTCTGTGCTGCCTGGAGTATAGGAGCTCTATCTATGCTTCCTTCCTGTGGTGAATCTGTATAAGACTGTTGTTGGGTTCTGTGCTGCCTGGAGTATAGGAGCTCTATCTATGCTTCCTTCCTGTGGTGAATCTGTATAAGACTGTTGTTGGGTTCTGTGCTGCCTGGAGTATAGGAGCTCTATCTATGCTTCCTTTCTGTGGTGAATCTATATAAGACTGTTGTTGGGTTCTGTGCTGCCTGGAATATAGGAGCTCTATCTATGCTTCCTTCCTGTCGTGAATCTGTATAAGACTGTTGTTGGGTTCTGTGCTGCCTGGAATTTAGGAGCTCTATCTATGCTTCCTTCCTGTGGTGAATCTGTATAAGACTGTTGTTGGGTTCTGTGCTGCCTGGAGTATAGGAGCTCTATCTATGCTTCCTTCCTGTGGTTAATCTGTATAAGACTGTTGTTGGGTTCTGTGCTGCCTGGAATATAGGAGCTCTATCTGTGCTTCCTTCCTTAATATACCAGGTATATAAGACCGATTGTCTTAATAAAGTTGTATATATATCCGTTGATGTATTAGTGTCTTTAGGTGTCAAAAAGCGCTACATTTTATGAATAGAAGCCTCATATGACATACTTACATCAAGAAGAGAAACAACCTGTGATTGAGTTAAACCTGCTTTTTATTGTCTTTCTAGATTATCTTCATAAATCAGCATAGAGACCATTCTTCATTCAACCAGATGGGATTGGATTCAGGAATAGCGAAAGACTTTCTGTATTTCGCTGTGATCGGGCCATCTCTTTGGTTCTGTAGATGCCGTAAAAGGTAGATGAGTCTGATATAGCTGTAGATAATTGCTGTAGAGAAGGTAGACACCCAGAACTATTGAGATTAAGATGAACGGAAAGAAAATCAAATCACGATACGGACTCAATATTTCTATAAGGGTCCAGGGACATGAAACAAGGATGTTTGTAGACATTGAGAGTAGATCCATTGTAGAC